GGAATCTATGAAGTCTTCTACCAGCCATCAGGATCAAGAAGGAACCCAAACTACCTCTCTACCCAACCTCTTCAAACACTCAAGGTCTCACCTTATTTGCTTGAAGTCTACCAGGGCCAATCTGATAACGACTTTCTCCTGTTTTTATGTCAGTCATCAAAACACTCCAGGTCCATCCTCACTTGCCTCATCCACACAGCTATGAACTTCCCCTATTATGTCCACACCTGCCATCCCTCCTTCAACAGACAAAAGCCTTCCGCTCTGCTCTGAAAACAAGGTGCAGTGTACCTCATCCTTTTCTCTGAACATCCCTTCTGCTTCTTGCCCCCCAAAAAACTTAGATTGATCCTGAAATCCACTGTTTACTCTGTAGCTATCTCAATGTTACTCTGCTTCCACAGCTCTTGTATCACTGGGTCTGGATGATGAGGTAGGTTTCCTTGTCCCTCAATACTAATTCTACAACTCTCTTAAAACCTTCCAGCAAAAGAAACTGATGTCACCAGATATTGGCACCCATTACATCTCATCATTAGAGTAGGATACCCTATAAGCCCTCTAGTCATCCACCTGTTTTTGTATAGCTCAAAAGCTAAGAATGATTTTAATATTCTTATTTTATTTTTATCTTTTTGGTTTTTTTAAGATGGACTCTCACTCTGTCACCAGGCTAGAGTGCACTGGCATGATCTTGGCTCACTGCAACCTCCACCTCCCGGGTTCAAGCGATTCTCCTGCCTCAGCCTCCCAAGTAGCTGGGACTACAAGTGCATGTCACCACATCAAGCTAATTTTTATATTTTAGTAGAGATGGGGTTTCACCATATTGGCCAGGATGGTCCTGATCTCTTGATCTCATAATCCACCTGCCTTGGCCTCCCAAAGTGCTCGGATTACAGGCATGAGCCACCAGGCCCGGCCATTTTAATATTTTTAAATGGCTTTTAAAAAAAAAAAATTAGTTTTCATGCATGACAAAATAAAGAAAAGGAGATTTAAAAAATAAAAAAAGACTATTTCATGACATGTGAAAATTATATGGAATTAAGTTTCACATACTTAATAAGTATTAAGTATACTCCATTAAGTGTCCATAAATACAGTTTTGCTGGAACACTGCCACATATGCTTATTTACAAATTGTCTATGGCTACTCTGTTCTACAGAAGGAAAGGTCTGAGTACTAAAAAGAGCCAGTATGGCCTACAAAACCTAAAATATTTAGCATTTAGCCCCTGACAAAAAAAGTTTGCCAACCACTGCCTTAGGATCTATTTTACTCTCAGTCTTCAACACTACTCTTATTTTACTTCTTAGATAATTCAATATACACCTAAACAATCTTTTATAACCTCCAATATCTCCGTTCCTTGACAACCTCTCCTCCATTGATCTTGTCTTCTGCCCTACATCAGCCCCTCACACCCTGATCACATTCTAGATTCTGATATTACTAAATAATCTCAAACCGTCAATAATCTCCATTTCATACATCCTACTCTTAAATACCACTTCATATTTCTAATTCACTCTTGACTACTTCAACAATCTTTGGGGTCTTGCTATGTTGCCTAGGCTGGTCTCAAACTCCTGGGCTCAAGCAATCCTCCTGCCTCAGCCTCCCAAAGTACTGAGATTACAGGCATGAGCCACTGTGTCCAGCCTTCAACAATACTTTAATTTCACCAGAAACCATTAACAAGTATATACTATCCCTCATCATCTATTGTTCTTATTTCCCTACCCACTCGGTTTAAATATAATGATCCATCATTATAACCCCCTTGGCATTTACCCTCACACTCATTCACTATATTCAGATGGTAAAATAACAACCTGACCAAATCCTACTCTGTGCCCACATCCATAAAGATGAACAAGAATAGAGAAAAACAAAGAGCTGCTCAAATCTGCCTCATCTTAAAGTCTTGACTATGAAATTCAGGTAGAACCTTGTGGCTACCCAGAAATCATACAAATCATAGTAATTTTCTTTCACATTATTATAGTTAACTATCTCATGCTTTTTTTTTCTTTGTTCAAAACTCTAATACTCCTCAAATCGGCCCGGCACAGTGGCACGTGCCTGTAGTCCCAGCTACTCAGGAAGCAGAGGTGGGAGGATCACCTGAGCCAGCAGTTCTGGGCTGTAGTGTGCTATGCCAATCGGGTGTCTGCACTAAGTTCAACATCAATATGGTGACCACCCAGGAGCCAGGGACCACCAGATTGCCCAAAGAGGGGTGAACTGGCCCAGGTCGGAAATGGAGCAGGTCATAACTCCCGTGCTAATCATCGGTGGGATTTCACCTGTGAATAGCCACTGCACTCCAGCCTGGGAAACAAAGCAAGACCCCGTCTCTTTAAAAAAAAGAAATACTCCTCAAATCATAACTAAAACCACTGCTTCTTAACTGAAAAACCTCTGAATTTATCACAAGATGTTTTCCCCCAAATCCCATCCCTTCTCATATTCTAGGGGACATCACTGTAGTAATATTCCTGTCTTTTCTATCATTTCATTATTCCTCCTCTCTACTCAATGATTCCTATTAGTGAACCTAACATCCCATTATTTATTTTTAAAAATATCTTTCATTATCTCCACTTCCCTGACCTCTTCTCAAAGCAATCATTTATACACACAGTCTGACTTTGTCCCCCACTGCCTCTATAAAGCACTCCAATCAGGCTTTTGCCTCAATCAGTACTTTAAAACTGTTCATCAAGGTCAGTAATGACCTCCACATGACTAAATCAAAGAGCTAGTCCTTCATATATGACACAGTTCTCCTATCCCCACCTTTCTTTAACTTGGCTTCCAGCATACCACATCATCTTAGTTTTCTTCCAAACTCTGGTCTCTTCTCAGTCTCCTTTGTTGCTTGTACCTCCTCCTCCAGACCTTTCAACACAGGAGGTCCCTGGGCCTCCTAAGGCCTACTTTCTTCTCTACCTGCACTCACTTCTCCCTTAGTGGTATCATTTCAGTGTGGTGGCTTTAAATAACTCAATATGCATACAACTCCCACATTTAATATCTAAAGTTTAGACCTCTTTAATACCAGACTAGGTATCCAACTGGCTAGTCAGCATATCCACTTAGATGTCTAATATTAATAGATAAATCTCAACCCCAACGTATCTATGGTAGGCAGAACAACATCCCTCAACCAAGATGTCCACATTCTAATTCCTGAAACCTGTGAATATGTTATATTACATGGCAAAAGGTACTTTGCAGATGTAATTAAACTTATGGATTGTAAATTAGGGAAGTTACCTTGAACTTTTCAAGTAGACCCAATCTAATCAGATGAGCTTAAAAAGAGAACTTTCTCCAACTAAAAGCAAAAGAGATACAAAAGAAATTCCAAGTGTAAGAGGAATTCAACAAGACATTGCTACCTCTGAGATGGAGGAGATCACGTGACACACGGCACAAGAAAACAAAGAAAGGCTCTAGGTGCCAAGCGCTGACCCCCACCTGACAAGCAGCAAGGAAAGGGGCACCTCAGTTCTACAATCAACCACAAGAAGCCAAATTTTGCCAAAAACCTGACTGAGCCTATAAGCATATACATTTTGCCAATAACCTGACCAACGTAGAAACAGATTCTTTAAGAACCCAGGCCAACGAACACCTTGATTTTGGTCTTGAGAGACTCAGACTAGAGGAAACAGCTAAGTCCACCCAGACTTCTGGCCTACAGAACGATGACTAGTAAGTGTATGTTGTTTTAGACTGGTTTGTTGCAGTAATTTCCTCTGCCAGCAATAGAAAACAAGAACCATATCCCAAACTGAATTCTTCTCTTTCCCCTCAACCAGCTATGCCCACAGTCTTTCCCCTCCTTGTTCACAGTGACTCCATACCTTCTAGTGAACTGACCCAAAACCTCTGGCATCATCCTTGGATCCTCTCTTTCTCATATGCCTTTAACTTATATTTAAGAAAGTCATGAGGGCTCAACCTTTTTATGCATCCAGAATCTGATCACCTATCACTGCCTCTATTGTTACTGCCATCTCTCTCTGGATGACTGCATACCTTCCTAATGGCCTCCTTGCTTCCATTCTGACTTTCCATAGCCTGTCCAAGGCAAAGCAACCAGAGGTCCTTTCAAAACTTAAGTCAGACCATGTTACATCTCAATTCAGAAACCTCCAATAGCTCATTTTTTGGTCAAATTGAACACAAAGTCCTTACATTGGCCTACAAGACCTTGTATAATGGGCCCCTCACCCTAGATTCATCTCCTACTCCATTTCCCAACTTGCTTATTCTGTCTCAGCCTCCCCATTTTTATATTAAGCACAAGATAATAATCCTAGTAATACTTAATATTTATTCTTATTATGAACCAAATACTGTTCTAATTGCTTTACATGTATTCTGTCCTTCAATTTCACTAATTATTTCCCCCACTTTACAAATGATAAAACTGAGTTATACAGAGGTTAATTAACCTAAACAATCAGTAAAAGGTGAGGCCAGAATTCAAAATCTAAGCTGAATGAAGTCTACCCACAGCCAAAATTCTCTGTCTCAATGATGCTTCCCACTAGTTTTCCTTACTTAACAGGCTTTGGAGACAAGTACAGAATAAACAGAAGGCAGATAAAGGATTAAGAAATGAGAATTCTAGGCTGGGTGTGGTGGTTCACGCCCGTAATCCCAGCACTTTGGGAGGCCAAGGCAGATGGATGGCCTGGGTGACAAGAGCAAAAAACTCCATCTCAAAAAAATAAAATAAAATAAAATAAAATAAAATAAAAGGGAAGGAAGGAAGGAAGGAAGGAAGGAAGGGAGGGAGGGAGGGAGGGAGGGAGGGAGGGAGGGAGGGAGGGAGGGAGGAAGGAAAATGAGAATTTCAAGTGCCTGATGTATGGCTGAAAAGGTGGGAAAAGCTAGGGAATGAAAATCGCCTTGAGAGGTAAAAATCAGCACAGTAACTACTTATTATATAAAACAAAATATGATACTTAAAACTTACTTTTTCTGTAGTAACAGTCAAGGATGGAACCAATGCAGGTGACGGTTCTGGCTGCTTCTTGTGTTTTTGCTTGTGTTTGTCCTTCTCTTTGTATTTCTAAAAATGAATATAAGTAAAATCCAATTTAAATTTGAACTATAACCCCTATACATGCAGTAGAGTTTTATTACAACTAATAATTTAAAATATTAACAAATACTCCTATCAAAAATTATTTCCTCTGATTACAGTGTTGTTTTATATATACACTATGTGTATATTTATACTTTATATATATTTAAATAATACTAGTGTGAGTTTGTTTTTAAGTAAGTTCAGCTCCTTTATCCTTAATCAGTCAAAATAATACAAACAACTGAAGTCTGTAATTATTTGCTATATTTACCTTCAGTAATATATACACTTTTTCTTCTTAAAAACACCAAATGCTTTGTGGACATCTAAAAATAGCACTTTAAAGTTTACATAGCACTTCACATCTGAACAGTACCAGATTTTCCTCTACCACGCATGAGAATTTCTCCAGAAACTAAAGGCACAGACACTCCAGCAAAAAATTCTGTCGTGGGTTTACCCAAAAAAATAGATGAATCAGTTATCTCTAACAAAAAAATTTAGATAAAGATAGGGTGTGCTATAAAGCGCTAAAGCTGATGAGCTAAATATAAAAAGGAATTCAATAAAATAAAAGTTAATTACATACTGGAAGTCCAACCTAATGTCAGATAGTTTTTATCAAAATGTTCTGTTGTTTGAATCACTACATTAAAAAACAGTATTGGGTGTGAAATGTACTACTATTTCAAGAGTTCATTGAATTTATTTATTTCTCATGATGCTTAAAATCTGACCACTGAGGGGCCTTAATCTTTTCAAATTATGAAAGATTGGTATCACTGTCCTTGCCCTAAAAGGTTTACATACAAACAGAACAAAGTGCATACAAATTAAAGATAGATGTTTTACTCTAATGCCCCCAAAATACTGCCTTTTTTTTTTTTGCTTTTAATTCCTGATCTAAGTATGTGAGATGTTTCAGGCTGCAATGTTAGTACTTAAGCAACAGTAAATGTAAATTAACACAATAATACTTTTTTCTTTTTGAAACAGGGCCTCACTCTTGTCACTCAGACTGGAGTGCAGTGGTACAACCACAGCTCACTATAGTCTTGACTTCCTGGGCTCAAGCGATCCTCTCACCTCAGCCTCCCAAGTAGTCAGGCACATGCTACACCAGGCTTTTTTTATTTTTATTTTTTTAAGAATGCAGTGGCACCATCTCAGCTCACTGCAGCCTCTGCCTCTCGGGTTCAAGCAATTCTCATACCTCAGCCTCCAGAGTAGCTGGGACTACAGGCACATGCCACCATGCCTGGCTACAGGCTAATTTTTTATTTTGCTTTTTTGCAGACACAGGGGTCTCTATAGTCTGTTCTCTAGACTGTTCTCGACCTCCTGGGCAAAAGCTATCTTCACACCCAATAATGTTTCTAATTCAGACTTTTTAGGAAACATTTTTATCTAAAAGTTATTTTGATTGTGGCAAACAATGTCTCCCCCAAAGAATCATTCCACATTCTCTGCAATGGGTTATCACTACTCTTCTCATCCTAAGATGTCCTCTTCTCCACTCCCTTGAACCTGGGTTACCCTTATGACTTGTGATACTCAACAGGATGTGGCAGAAGCAAGGGTGTATGAGCACAGGAACCTGGAGTTTTAAGAAGTCTTCATGGCTTCCACATTTGCCACCTCAGTTCTCAGCCACCACATGAGGAAGCATTCCACACTCTCCTCATGGAGAGGCCAAATGGAGAATGAGGTCATATGGGGAAGAACTGAGGTACTCTAGCCTATAGCCAGCAGCACCTAGCGCCAGACATGTGAATAAGACCAACAATGACCACCCAGCCAGCCACTAGCTTAATAAATCCTCATGAGTAAATCTGGCTGATACCACATGGAATCATCCCTGCTGAGCTCACCTGTTATAAGCCATTAAAAGTCATTGGGTGGTTTAAAGCAACAGTTTAACTGAAACCAGACTATAATACACAATTGGGTCACGGGAGCTAAAGAACGCACAAATTAAAAATAACAATATAAGCCAGGCATGGTGGCTCACAACTGTAATCCCAGCACTTTGGGAGGCCAAGGCAGGTGGATCACTTAAGCCCAGGAGTTCAAGACCAGACTGGGAAACACAGGGAGACCCATCTCTACAAAAAATTTAAAAAAAATTGGCCAGGTGTTGTGGTGGAAACCTGTGGTCCCAGCTACTAGGAAGGCTGAGGTGGGAGGATCGTGTGGGCCTGGAAGGTTGAGGCTGTAGTGAACTGTGATCATACCACTGCACTCAAGCCTGAGTGACAGAGTGAAACCCCATTTATTTAAAAAAAAAAAAACAAAAGTAACAATATTAGGATATTTGTGTGTTAATACACTGATATAGTTTGGCCGTGTCCTCACCCAAATCTCATCTTGAATCGTAGATCCCATAATCCCCATGTATCATGAAAGGGACCTGGTGGGAGGTAACTGAATCACAGCAGCGAGTTTTTCCTGTGCTGTTCTCATGATAGTGAATAAATCTCACAGATGTGATGATTTCATTAAGGGCAGTTCCCCTGCATATGCTCTCCTGCCTGCTGCCATGTAAGATGTGCCTTTACTCCTGCTTTGCCTTCTGCCATGTTTGTGAGGCCTCCCCAGCCATGTGGAACTGTGAGTCCATTAAACCTCTTTCTCTTCAGAAATTTCCCGGGCTCGGGCATTTCTTCATAGCAGTATGAAAATGAACTAATACACACAACAAATTAACAAATTTATACATTCTAGTTTATGAAGTTCAAATGATCCTGGCCTGTAACTGTTATATCAGTGTTTTTCTCCCTACGAAGATAATTAAGAAGCCTTTCTATCCTCCTTTACTCTATATATTCTACTTCCCATTCTGGGCTTCGTTCTTCAAGTTTGTAAGAGCTAAGAAAATTTAATGGTGAATGATCCTGAATAACAAAAAAGTAAACAAACCAACCCTAACAACTTGCAAAACATATGAGAGTAAAAGGCAAAACATATACATGTACATGTGTGAAAATATACAATATGGAGATATAAAAAGTCATACAAAGCAAATAATGGAACAATACAGAACTCTGGTCCTCTGTGATACATCAAGAAACATATTCTGCAATGAGCATTACAAATGTTCATTGGAACACATTGTGCACGGTTTATATCCATACAAACAGCCTATCAAATATGAATCAAAGGAGTCTAATGACTATCACTAAAAAGATATGCTGATTTAAATAGATTAATAGAAGAAAGGAAAAAACCACAAAAGTACTCAATTATATATGAAAATTTCTTATATGATAAAGAGGAGATTCCAAATCAGAAGGCAAAGACTAAAATTACTTAATAATGGTACTAGAACAACTGGTTAATAATTTAACAAAAAATATCTTATATAAAATAAAACAAAATCCAGATAGGTTAAAGAGTTAAATAAAAATTAAAATAATCTAAAAGTTTGCTAGAAATTATTTTTAAAGTATCTGACTTTAAGGAATAAAAGACTTTTCTAACTAAAAAAAAGGTAAAAAACTACAGAAAGGGAAAACACAGATTTAGCTATACAAATTTAAAAATAAATCATTAAAAAACAACAACCAAACTGGGAAATCAGTCAGGTTAAATATTTTGTATTTTATTTCTGTTTAAATTTTTTAATAAATTAATAAGAAAACATATATGCCATTGAACAATGTACAAAGACCATGACTAGGAAATTCAAAAAAATAAAATAAAAAGCCACTAAACAGGAACAGAAACATGCAACCCAAGTATTAAACAACCAAAGGTAGTATTTTTCTCCTGTATGTGACCAAAGTTTTGGGGTTTTGTTTTTAATGACCAGATCTAATACTGTCTAGGGAAATGAGCACTTGCATATATTACTAGAGAAAATGTAAACAAATGAGGAACCCATTTTTTTTTTTAAGAGATTGGGTCTTGCTCTTTTACCCAGGCTGGTCTTGAAGTCCTAGGCTCAAAGGACCCTTCTGCCTTAGCCTTCCAACTATCTGGGACTACTGGTACACACTACTGAGCCAAGCTGACAATTTTTAAAACAAGAGTTAGAAACCATAAAATTATTCATACCATGTGACCTAGTAATTTCACCTCTAGGAAGGTATACAAAGATTTAAATACAGTGTATCATACTTCTGTTTACAATGGGGGAAAAAAAGAAAAACAACTTGTCCAACAACGGAGCTGTACTTGAAAAAATATGCTTATGGAAGCATACAATGGCCATTAAAATAAGCATGTTGTTAAAGAATAGTCAGAGATTTCGGAAATTGATAATAGGTGAGTTTTGTTCCTAGCTCACAGATTACATATGTACTCTTCAAAACTCTGAATTCCTCATGGCCCAAAGATATGAATTTATAAGTATTATCTTCACAGCTTGTTAAGTCAAGATAGCTAATGTCACACTCAACTTAATCAGTATATATTAACTAGCAATACAAAACCAGAATTGTAAAAGTTTATAATTATAAATATATATGATATCTCAATCCTTAAAATAGTCCTGTGAGGAAAATTCTTTTTCTTTTTTTACACAAAGGTATGGCTTAAACAAGCACAAGGTAGACTCTTACCTACACCTCCCAAAAAACATAACCAAAAAGTAAAAAAAGTAGTTTTCAAAATTTAAAGAAAAAGTAGGTAAGGTACTCATGATGAGAAATTCTAAAAGAGAAAATCAAGAGTGAGGGGGAAAAAAGAAGAGACAGAAACAGAAGGGAGAGAAAAGCTTATGATAATAAAAGAAACTAAAGACAGTTAAACACAGAGGGGTTTTTTTTTTTTTTTTTTTTTGAGATAGTCTCACTCTGTTACCCAGACTGGAGTGCAGTCATTTCATCTCAATACACTGCAACCTCCACCTTCCAGATTCAAGCAATTATCATGCCTATAGCCAGCCACATAGCTGAGATTACAGGTGTGTGCCACCACGCCCGGCTAACTTGTATTTTTAGTAGAGATGGGATTTCACCATTTTGGCCATGCTGGTATCA